TTACAGCAGAACAAAGCAGTAATGGGAAATTTCTCTTCATCTTTGAAATAATTATGTTGCCTTAAAATGTCATGAAAATTCACCAGTATCTTCGTAACATTTATTCCCATTAGGAGCCTAAAAATAGAGGCATTTCAAATGTTTTAGTATGCAAATGCTTTTCAGATTTCTTGTCATTTCTTTTTATTTTAGTAACTTCTAAGCAAGTTTGTCTTCTTTGAATAAGGCCAAAAATTTCTATTTCATAATCTCACAGCATATTAAAAATCACTCTGGAATCAATTTATGTTATAGAAAATAGTCTGTGGAAATGAATACATGCAAAGATGAGTGTGTATATTTTGGTGTGTTCGTGTATAGGCTGCATTTTATCCAGCCTTTGGTCTTGCCATTTTTTTTTCCAAATTTTACTCCCCACAGTGACACTGTTTTACCAATATGGAGGTTTTTTCCAAAATAAATGATTAAAAGTAATAATTCGGACTTTCCATCTGAAATGGAATTTTTATAATTGAGCATTTAACCATGAAGTGTCTTGGAAAAATGAGTGGAAAATAACAAGCTGAGGTTTTGGCCGGCATAGGCCACAGGTTATGTTCCATTTTTAAACTGAGCAGTGCGTTTAGTGAAGTTAATCTGTTTAGTAGGAGATCGTAGAGGGAGAAGCAGCGTGGAACTGTAATGCGCTCCCTCTCACATGATGATGTGAGTAGGTGGATCACTAGTTAATGTATAAGGACTTTAGCTGATACCTAAAGTATTTGGTACTAAACTTACCTACTTGAACATGATGTTCTTTAAAATTTTCCTGGCCATTTTGAGTATAGAAAGAAATCATGCAAAAATTGCTTCTATTACAATTTATAACACTGTTTTCTTTCTTTGTAAAGCTACTGACTTCAGCATCTGTTGTACACCTTGAAAGGCCAGTCTAAACACTGTTTTGGTAGAACACATACATACGTTTTTACTCCGTATGCTACATGATAACTGAGAAAGGAAAGAAAATGCATGCGCATACCATGATTTACAGTCAGTATGGACCTTGGGCCCATTCAAAAAACAAAACCGAAACCTGTGAGCACTGATTTGATGTACTGTTGCATAAATGCCGTCATTTCTTTTCCCATTGAAACAATTATCTATGTGGAAAGGGTTCATTTAAGTCCTGTATCAGAAATAGAAGAAAGATGCACTGTCTCAGTAGGAAAGACAGTCTCCCTTTGTCATAATTATAAATGCATGAAAATAACATCATTATAAGACTGTTTAGGTCTTGCTCTTCAATTTTTGATTCAGAATGTCAAATGCAGTTATGAAATTCAAACTTCAGTTCAGAGACTTAGGAAATCACTTAATCTGAATTCATTGCTATTTATGTGTAGAACAACAATTGTTTTAATTGGTACTCCTGACATGTATGAAAGATTAAGATAACATGATCACTAGTCTTTCTGTGAATTGTTCAGTATACAGGAAAAATACATTCAATATTAGCCCTCTAGAAAGTCAAAGCTGCAAAGCTTCATTTTTTTCCCCCCTTATTTTCATTAGAATGTGATATTTTTGTAGAGGTGATCTGTTGGGTAAGGACATTTTCACAGAAGGGGACTGACAGCTGAAGTCAGGATCCCAAGACTGAGTAGCACTGATGATGACAAGGATGAAGGGAAGGTTGAGGCCCCTAGACTTGTTCCATGCCACACTCTCAATGGCTGGCTGTTGGTGGCTGTTATTTTTTTTCCCCTTCGCTGTGGGTAATGGGATTGGCTGGAGAGGTGAAGCACTTGACTAAAACAAGGCAATGCTCCCTTTTGCCATGACTCGTGCCCCAGTTGAGGGAGCTGCCTGTGTTTTACCTCAGACTGGTTCTCTTGGTGAAGTCAGAGCAGAATGGGTGTGGGTCTCCTTAAACTAGCCCTGCTAAGGAGTCAGCACCTCAGTTTAAAATGTGTATCTTATTACTGCCTGATATTATCAGCCAGATGAAGATGATGGGTAATTCAGTTTACCATCGTTAGCCGAACCGGTGCATGGTTTAGCTCCATCGGTGTAGTGGCTGTTGCACTCCCTTGCCCACTCAGGCCTGCAAACGGGATCGTTTGCACCCTCCTCTTTCCTTGGGGGTCTGGCTTGTGTGTGCCAGAGCATGCAGTGATGACCTTCAACTTCCTTGGCTAAGCACGAGGGGACCAGCTACATAATTAGGGGCTACTTAATGGTGGCAGGTTACAGCCTGCAGAGAGAGAATACTAAGAGAAGTAGATTGCTTATTTATCCTTTGCCAGGAGATACAGGGATCAACTGTTGTTGCCCAAATAGATTAACCTATCTCTTCCCTGAACAGCTTTATATGACTGTGAGGAAGATGAGTATGGGGTCAGGAGTTACTGTTACCAGGGGTTGGCAAGAAGAGGAAGTCCTTCTCCACGGTGCTCCTGCCTCGCTCCCCAGCCTGGCACCAGCCCTTCCCCTCTTGCAGGGGGCTTTGCTCCCAGAGTGAGGAGTAGGAGAGGTGGTTGGGATGGCAGGGGATGAGTGGGGACAGAGAGAGGGAGACTGATGGTGAGCCGTAAGGGTGCGGAGGACCAGAACTACAGCGGAGTGGAGGAGAAGAGGAAAGGCCCTCTCCCAGGGATGGATGCTGGGGGAGGACCTCCTCTCTCCACCAACAGCACCCCAGCTGATCCTTCCTTGCACAGCCCAGCAGTCCTCCATCCTCTTCCTTCCCAGCTGCCCCAACCATCCTTCCTTTGACTGCAGTTCCTTCAATCTGTCCAGCCCCCTTAACCCACCTTGAGTTTTTGCTCCTGCTGCTGCAAGGCTGAATCTCCACATTAGATCATAAGACTAATATACGGTAAAACAAGCAGACATGCCAGTCTCAGCCACCGTTCAACCCAGGCTGAGGTCCCCTGGATGCTTGTGACGCAGGAGGCACCAGAGAGGTTTTATTTCCCTCATCACTGTTCACATCTGGACAGAAAAGGTAGGAAATGGCTCTCCAGGGACCCTGTGGCAGAGGGGCTGCGCCTCCATGAACTGCAGCAGCCCAGGCAGGTGGCACAGTTCAGGGTTGGGTGTGGAAATAATTACATGCTTTTGCTTGTAAAAGCCGGCAGCTTTGTGTGGGGAATCGTCCCACGCTGCTGAAACCCTGGGCATAGGTCACACCTTCTCCTTTAGATTGTCCCCAGCTTGGAGAAGGGTGAAGGCGCTTGTCAGGATAAAGGAGTGGGTAGTGCCCTGTCTGACCTTGATCAAGTTAAGCATTGCTGGTGAGATACTAGGGATGAAGAAAATCTCTATCCAAGGGGAAAACAGTACTTGTGGAGTTTTATGGTCAAACCTGGGAGTAACTGAGGGAAAAAAACGAATGAACCATGTAGTTCATACTGCAATGTAATATGCCATTTATATTGCCATAGAATATGATGGTGTAGTCAAAGGTCTGTTTATGGTTGGATGTAAAGCATTAAACTTGCTCTAAACCTTGGTATAGAAATAGCTGCACAGAGAAGTGCATGCTGTAAATGGATTGTGAAAATACATATTCAGAAAAAAAGTGTTTTTCATACTAGCCAGACAGTGCATAGTTTCTAATGCAATGAATCCTTTCCAGTGTTTGTGTCTAACAAAAGCTATTTAAAAATTCTGAGTAGAAATGTAGAGATTTTATTTAATGCCTTGCATAATGACTGACTGATTGTGATGATGAATTATAGGGGATTTTGTCACTAGGAGCCTGCAACAACAAGATAAGGCAATAATCTTCCATTTCTATGCTTGTGGGTACACGTTTTGGATTTTGATATTTTTTTTTTAATGACTCATGCAAAGGTGCATGACTCATTAATAGGTTAGGATGAACTTATGATGTTAGGGTCTTTTTACCAATGGCAGGATCCTATTCTGTAATTTTTAGTATTTTCCCAAGTAAGACTCTCCATTGAGGCATGACTCAAAAGTAATTTAATAGGAAAGATATTGATCAGTGCTCTAAATCCATCTGTAGTAATTTTCATGCCCAAGAGACTAGATGATTTCTTTTTTGGTATAGGTTTGAAAATAAGTTCTTATTGAGCATGAAGTAAGCAGGAACATGTTTGGAGCTAAATCAGTTTTTAATGTGGTGGGTTTTGTTTGTTTTTTTTTTTTATTTTGTTTATTTGCTTTTTGAGTATTCATTGTTAGTAGCTTTTTGCCATCAGCTGTATGTAGTGAGGCAGTAGAAATGGTGATGCTTTACTATAATGAAACCAATTTGGGAAAAGGCTAGCAATCAGCATAAAAATATACCTATGGAAAACAGCAACGCCAGCACAGGATTTCTTTGTTGCTAGTATAGGTAAGAGAATTTGAAACCAGAAAAAGCAACATTATACAGAACAGTAGCAAAGACAAAAGTTCATTCCTCTGAACATCTGACACCTAGCTAATTCATAACAGCACTGTTATGTGAAGAAACTACATATAGTGGCAGCATATGAAACTTAGAGATGAGAAATATATATAGGCTTGCAACAACCTGTATATAGCCAGGTTGGGCCCATGAACTGCTGACTCGGCTGGCAGGAGTTTTGGGGTGGTGGTGTTGTGAGATTTCTCCCTCCGCCCGCTGTTGTTTCTATATCTCTTGACATTTCGGAGATACTGAAAACCGTGAGGTTGAGTAGTTCACTATCCAAAGGACTAGGGAGGTAGTATGTTATGTTTTCTACAGAAATCTGGTAGAAGTGGTTGAAATGCTTTTTTACCAAGTAAAATTCCACATACTGAAAATTACTTTTCGTTCACAAAGAAAGATGATGATATTTTTCTGCTACATGTCCTACTATCCCAAGCTTTGTAATCAGTCTTTTTATTTTGAACTGTGCAAATGTTGTCCAGAGTTTGAGAGCATGGCAGTCAAATGATGGCCTAAGGGTTTAAGCGGTAGCTTTGCTTGGCAAAGTTTGTTAATGTGCACATCTCTGGCTTTTTCTAATTTCCTCATATAGACAGCTACGGATAGTGACAGGAGAATGGTTTTTTGAAGAGAGAGCAAAGCGCTTCAAACCATCAAATCTTGGAACCGATGTTGTCAGACAGTCTATCCTACGCAAATTCCCAGGTAGGGACCACAAGAGAGGGATTTGCTTGTGCTTAATACATTCAAACCTTGTTTCCAGTGTGTTTGACTTGTATTGTATTTTATTCTTCACTGTCGAATGTGTAAGTATAACCAAGTATGAAATTAAGATACTGGTTATTACTATGTAGTGGTTTGTGAATGATTAATATATAAGAAAGGTAAGGTATAGATGAATGAAGAAGTATCTCTGTGGACATAGAGAGCTGCTTAAACTCTCACCGTCCAAACAGGTGGACAGTATTATTCAGCTGCAAAGCCAGCAGCAGAGGCTCTCAAAGTTCATTCTCAACCCAGCCATTCTTTTTACTTTGGCTCTCTTATTTGTGTTGGTGGTGTGTAAAGAGTATTCCATTTTTCTTCTTCAACTCTGAATAAGAAAGATGAATGTTAACTCCTGCGCTGTATGCTGGAGCTTGGGCTAAATCCAGACTACCTGGTACTTCTCAATTCTCACTTGACTTTCCTTTTGCCCAGGTATCTCCAATAAATTGCACCTGTGCTTTGAGGTACAGTAAACAGTCTGGCTGTCTTGACCAAGCACAGCATGTGTACCATGTCTGTGAGCTACCAAGCAAGGTACCACAGGACTGCTGGTTTAAGAAACAGGAGTTTTTCCTGAGTGCTGATGCTTCTGTCTTCAATTAAGTCCTTCACTCTGCACACAGAAGCTGTTATTTCGGTAGTCTGTTTTCAGATGTAGCGTTTATCACTTTCAGTGGGAAGGTGAAGGTGATGGGTATGGGCAGTTTGTAGGGAGAGGGACTGCTTTACTGCCGTTGGAAGAACGCCCGGTGCAAACACACTGCCTGGCAAAATGCTGATCTTGCCAACATCACTGTGCTTCAGAAGCTGTCCAGCTGGCAAGTATCTGACGTTCTTTGGGGTTTGATATTATGCAGCCTCTCAAATTGGGTATTTTGTGATTTGTTACTTTGTTGTTTGATAGACATATTAAAAATACATATTTAAGTAATTTTTCCCACACTTTGCTTCTAGTTGAACAAACATTTTAATCAGGAAAACATTTTTTCATTTAACATGGAAAATAATGTACGCCTCAAAATTATATTTCAGGTCCTTTGATTATTAAATATTGTCAGTGATAAATTCAGAAGCGTAGTTCAAGACAAGAGTTGATAATGAGAAACATTTCAAGCTGCTTAGTTTTGTTTTCTTTTCTTAAAAGGAAAAGCCGAAGAGCCCCCGAAGTTTTTTTTCGTGATATTTTATCATATGGTCTTATTTAATGTTGAAAAATGGAAAATCTATTTTTGTAGGTTGTTTGACATGTGCTGCCTTTTTTGTGCAAACATTCACTTTTTTTCTTTCCCCTCCACTGAAGATACAGTTTCCAGTAAGGATGAAGGAAGAACACTTAAAGATCAACCCCAAGAGATTGAAGAAAAAAGGCCAGATGTTTCAGTCCCCTCCACGAATGGGCATAAATCAGTCTTCTGCGGACCTAGAAAGATAGGGTAAAGCCTTTTCTTTCTGAAACTGATAAATCTGATAACAGCTGTATATGGTTGGATGGATTTTCTTTTGAGTTTCTCCAGCATTCCACATCAGGCTCAAACTTCCCAGGGTTAGAAACAGCCTTCGTTTAAAAGCGTACTTACTATAATTAGACTGCTGTTTCCTGGGGAATGCAGCAGTAATTACTCTTCAGCTATAAAGGTAGCAGAAAAAAGGCAATTTTACTCCTGGATTTTCCTTGTTTATACTCGGAAGTAACAGAGTGTCCCTAAAGGTAGGTTTGCTGAAGAAGCAAATGCAAAAAAGTAGTATTTGGAGGGCCCATTTTTTTATGTGTACTAGTTGGTTCCGCTCACAAGTCAAGTTTTCCTTTAGCTTCCAGCTGTGCAAATGCAGTCTTAACAGTCAAGCAGTGCCCCTGTTTTTGTGCGTCTGACAGTGAATAAACAGATGGGTTGCTATTCATCGTGCAGTCTCAGTGCTGTGTGTAGCCCCGGGTTGGCTGCGCCCTTGGAGGAGCGCTCACTTACTCTCAGGGGACTTGCACAGATGCCCTGAATATAATGTTACATGAGTGGTGTCTGGACGTAACTTGAGGCTATTGGGTGAATGGGAAGAAAAAAATCATATCGTGGCTGGAGCTCCATGGGCTGGGAGTTGGAAAACTTTGTTTCAGTCGGAAGAAAGAACACATTTTACTATGGATCCTAAATATAGGATAGGTAGATAGCTCTCAGAAGTAAAAAAAAAAAAAAAGGTGTAGATAGCGAAGTATGGAATTACTTGTTCCAGTGACTCCAGATATTAACATGAGTGATTTATCTCTCTTTAATATTGGGAAAATAGAGCATCACAATGCCTCTAGCTTCTCAAATTAAGGTGAAGAAAGAACCAGCTTAGGGAATCTACTGTAATAGGACCTAGGTGTTGCCCTAAGGGCACTTCTGGTTCAAAGCTTGAAGTGGCCATGTGGAGTAGGAGGGATTTTTTAATGTTTTGTGTCTTAAAAAGCAGTTTAGCAAATGTGATGCTTTTTTTTTTTGTTCATAGGAATCAGTTTGATAACCAGATTTGGTGCTCCGTTCATCCTTATATCCAGAGTCAGACAGATTAAATTAATAGAATGTGCACATCACTGTATTTCAGTCAGGCTGATGTTTCCTGGGAAGAACCTTACAATTTTTTAAATCTTTTATTCCCTGTTTTCATCAGGAAGGTAATTAGGGCGGCTACCAAAGGAGAAATTAGAAATGCAAAAGATGAAGGTGAAAGGAACACAAGCTTAGAAGCTGAAACCCAAAGTCTGCGCAGTGGCAAGTCGACACCGTGCTCTGAGAGGTGAGCAGCAGCAGAAATCTGGTACAGTTTATGCTGGGATTGACCTAGGGGTATGTGCCAGTCCTCTGTGTTGCATTGTGTCTTTGAATGCTCAGCATTGATACTATCTGAGAAGCAGAGGTTTTGTTTAAAACAAAACAAACAAACAAACAAAAAAAAAAACAAAAAAAGAAAGAAGCTAAAAATTATCTCTATCCATCTTCCTTTATCTCCTTGTGTTTGACCAGTGATTGCTGCCAGTACGTTGTTTTTTGTTTTCTGGCTTTTAATTGATGAACGGTGTTCATGTTACAGAACTAAGGGCCTTTGTTCTAAAGTTTTCATTTGGTAATGACATGTTAATTGATTATATTTTCTTCTTCAAAGGCTCTGTTTGCCCTTCTCTTTCCATGATTATTGTCCCAGTTATTTCTAATAGAATTCCATTTATCATCCTTCTGGGCCTAAGAGATCTCTGTTATTGCCTCTGTTGACAGCATTATAAAATGCAAGATGCAACATTCCTCTCGTGTCCCACCACCAAAATGGAGCCAAAAAGTAGTTCACTTTTTTCCTTGTTCAGTTGGATAGTCTGTACTGGATGTAGACCCACATTCTTTGCTCAGGTGCACACACCTAGAAATTTTACAATCTGGATTGAAAAATGAAAATAATTTGCTGTAAAATCCAATAGAAATTTCTAGCTCTGAAACAGTGTTGCTGGAAGACTCCAAATATCACAGGGTATCAGGTAAAAGGAACATCATGAGTTTAATTCACCCACAGATAAGCCTACTCATTTAAGCAAGAACTTGCTTCCCTTTGTTACTTACAATTCAAAAACCCAGTTGCTGGATGTTCCGCAACGTGCCTGAAGTTGATGGTGACAATCTTCTTGAAAGTTCGTAGTTGTTTATTTTTTTTCCACTGGATGCTGCAGCACTTAGTAGCCAAATCAGCTTTAAAGCTAGTTTTCTTCTTTAATCCATACACAGTTCACTAAGGTGTGTTTGGTTTTTTTTTTTTCACTAAGCTAAGTAGGCCTTCTGTATCTAACCAGATTCGTACCTGATGTTTATGAGACCAGAAGTAGTGGGTTTGCTGTACTTCTGGGTTTGTTTTGCTTTTCATTGAACAGAGTAGAGATGAGTGAAGGATCTAAGAGACAAACACTCAGGAATCTGGTGTCTGTGCTGCTTAATATTAAGGTTATACAATATTAAGCAACTCTCTTTAAGACTTTACAAGAATAAGGACAAAGGGATGCTTATGAGACATCTTTTCAGCAGTTTTGATGTGCCAGACTCCAAGATAATTAATATATAGTTACCCCGAAATGAAGCAAAATAGTTTTGTTTGGGGTGGTAGAATTCAGCACCTGATAAGCTCTGTGTACAGGCTTAGAAGGAAAACTAGAGTGACGTACTTCCTAAAAATAAGTCTTCATGTTTGATTGCCTTGCTTGACTTTCATGTAAAGCATCAATTTGTAGCTTTCACCCAGAGCCAGGGTGCGGGATTTATTAAATTAGGGGTATTGAGTCATTATGGCAACTTCCTTCTCTACCCCCCATCTCATCCTCGCCTGGCCAAATCGGTGTCCTTTGTCAAAGGACACAGTAACCCAGCTGTGTTGCCGGGAGATGCTTTTGGTAGGGGGACTGAATTATTTTACTGTCTTTGGAAGATGTGTCACTTCCTAAATATTAGTATGTGGAAGGATCGAGGAGCAGCTCGTGTTTCTCAGTAGAGGGATGAAAAATTCTGTTTGTACGTGCATGGTTAAATACTTTAATTAGATATTTGAGGATGCTTGCTTTAGTTCATCTGTTGTTAATTTATAGAACTGAGTGGTAATTATTGAAAATAACAGCAGAGTTTCCCAGGCTACCCTCTGTAACTATTTTGAGTTTCAAATTAAAAGAATATAACAACAGTTTGTGACACTGTAGCTGTCCTAGATTTTCATGCATACTTCTGATTTTTTGTAATTCCTCTCATCTTTTTAGCTGCATTGCCAAAACTGGCAGTATTTCACCTACCAGCAGGGAAATGGACAGAGAATTTTTATTCTTTCTAAACATTTTTATTTAAGAGAAGACATACTGAACTAGGAACAGGGAGTCCCAGTCCATGAGTTCATTTCTTCAATTGGTTTATTTCTACTCTGGCAAAAATGGTTACTGATTTTGCAGCCAAATGAACTGGGAGGCTGCAGCAGGATACTTCTCGGAGAAATAGTGTGGGAATGTCAGGCTTATCTACATAGACAACTATCCCATTGTACTGAGGTCTCGTCTACCACAGGAAATGCCTGGCATAGTCAAGCTATATGAACATTTTTCTTTCTTTTGTTGTCTCCATGATATGTGTGTAAAATGTATTGAGCCTCTCTCTAACAGCAGACTGAAATAAGAGCAAAGTACGGGAGAGGTCCGCTTAGGAGGTTTGATGTGCAAGTGCTCAGCCTGACCGATGACTCCTGCAGAACCCCTTGTAACATGTTTTCACATCATTTATCTCAGCCCACTATTACTTCTGAACACTTCTCCAGTTTTACATGAGTTTATAGAGTGAAGAAAAAAAAAATCTGTTAACAATTTTTTGTAATAGAAAGTCACAACAATCCATCAGAAATGGTGTTACATGCAATAAACCTCAGGTTTATAACATTTTGGCTACTTGCCATACACTGGCAGGTTTGGAAATTAAGGTCCATGTGTCTCAGTCCAACAGCTTTGATAAAATACAGATGGCAGCCAGTAACCTTGATTTTTCTGACTTTGCAGCACCAAAGACGCAACTTTATGTAAACAGATAGGACTAACATTCGAGCAAGGATATTTAGTAGGATTTATTGATCTCTAGCTTACCAAATTAAAAAGCAGCAGTGCATGTGTATGAACTATGCATGCATAAGAAAATGTTTATTATGCATTATCTACTGTTGCCAATATATGAAATTGGATAATAATTGTTAAAAAGGTTACTGTATGCTCACTGAAAGACAAAAACATGGTTGTACAATGCTCGTAGACACTCCTGGTGTTTGGGGGTTTCGTCTGTATTCCTTATTTTCAGTAACTCCACCGATGTGCATTCAGAGCCTGTGCTCACTGCTTAATGTAGCGCTGAGACAGGAGCTGTTGTGTGCCAGAGTGGTTTTTTTTCCTCAGTTCAGCAGTAGTTCTAATAAAAATTTCCATTGTGGTAGAGAAGATTTTTGCTGAAGTTACTTTAAACATGATATGACAGCCTAAACCCAGTGAAGGTGAAATTCAGATGTTGTCCAGCACAATGAAGATGCCTGCAGATCTGAAATATTTATTAAGCAAGCTTTATTTGGCTGAAAACATACTGTAAGTTCCAAAACTTTTCTCCAGCAAATTTGCACTACTAGTGTCCCCTGACACTGTGTTTTCCATAAGGAAAAGAGTACAATTCCTTCATCAATTCCTATTTACCAGTTTTGTTTTTTTTTAAAAAAGTAGTTAGTAGGAATGTACGTGGAACCGTTACTATCCTGCAAGGCTTTTTGAGATTTCTCTAAATTGCAAAGAAAAATGAAAAAAGGTTGAACTGCTGTTTGTGGATAAAGAAGAGTAGATCAGCCAAGAACTTGTATTTTTACTGCAAATCAAATTTCAAATGAAAATAAGTCTTTAATTGGAAACGTGTGGAAATACATTTTAAAATAATTTTCATTGTTTCAAGAGGTCAAAAAAGTGCAACAGCTTACCCTCAGTGTCCACATGGACTAATCAGTATTTTCTGATAGAAAATGTCCCATGGGAAAATTTCTGCCTGTTGTGTTTAAATTAGACAGCAATTGGGTTCTGGTATGCTGATCACAGATGCTTTTCATCACTTTTACTAACACGAAACCTGGGAAAAAGACTTGCCCAGCGTTCCTAGCTTTCCAAGCTATTTGAAAGAATCGACCAGTTTGGGTCAGGAGTCATTATTGCAATATAAATAGGACAGTGAGGAAGCTTTTTTTTTTTTTTTTTTTTTTTTTTTTTTTCCCCTGGAGAGGACGGAGAGCAGATAGCCAAGGATTTAGTCTTTCTGGAGCTAGTGCTGGCATTAACATCAGCTGCAGAAGTGACCCGAACTGCCATGCCACTGCAGTTTTCCTGTAAACCAAGGAGCAGCCTGGTGGGAAGCGTTACACAAGTTGTGGCACCTGCTGTTGGGATGCGAGTGCGGTTCGAAATGAACGCGGATGGGTGCAGCTTCTACAGCCTGGACCAGAGCCACCCATTTGGGCTATTTGCAGTTCTGGTAGAAGTACTGAAAACAGGTGTATGTATAAAGTAATTGTCATTCACCCTTGCCTGTGTTTTTCTTTCCAGGCGACCATTTCCTTGCAGTGGATCTCACAGTTCATCCGGGGCGATGCTGTTACCATGGCTGTTTTCTTGCAGTGGTTTGCTAAATGCGCTGCCTCGGTTTGCTCAAAGCAATAATACTTTAATATTCTTCTCTCCATCCCAGAGGGAGCACTCTTTCGCTGAACAGCAGCAACACAGAGGCCACCGTGGGCCATCTGAAAGGGGCCGTGGGTCCTGTGAACAGAGGCAATGCTTCCGTACCTTCCCTCCCGAGGTCTCCGGCACTGAGCACACGCAGCATGACCGCGGATTATGGCAGGGTAAATACAGTGATGTAGAGCTGACACCAAATACAGCTGACAGCAAACAAGACAACTTGGCTGATACCTGCCCCATTAGATCGATTTGTAGCCTAGAAAGGACAAGACTGACAGAGAAGATTTTGTTTCTTCCTTAATTCTGCTGCGACCGGTGAACAGAACTAGAACAGAATTTGTCATACTCTAGCAGTGATGTGGTTTATGGTTTGGCAGACGTTTTTCCTTTTGTCTAAAAATCGCTGTTAATGTCCAGCATTACATAATGAGTTACAGATTCTGTCCTGGGAAGCACAAGGGATGGGAGTAAGCATTTTTGGCACTTCAGGGCATCGAATAAGTGCTGTGAACTAATAAGGTGACTTTCAAGCATGCAGGGTCCAGCATGCTCCCCACTGACTTCTGAGGGAAACTTTGCAAGCTCAGCACTTGCCAGGCCATACTGATTTTAGGTTTTTCTGGATTTGGACACTGGGCTCTTCGTAAGTTATGGCATAACACAAAAAGTGTGCTAGATGCTTTATCAAAATGAAAGGTGGGATTCCTCTTACCAGCTCTTAGGCCACTTGGGATGTAGGTGGCCACATCTGAGCCAGCCGCCGGGGCTGCTTTGTAATAAGCAGGGGGATGTGGCTCATCTGGCCAGAAGCAGACGCTCTCTGTGCTCCCATGCAGCCTGCCTGTCTGTCAGGCAGCTCCGCCTGGCTGGGCACTCAGACGCCCAAGCTGAATTCGTTACAGTCACTCCTCTTAAGAAATCAGGATTGTGCTAGCAAGTATTCTAAGTTGCCATGACTTAAGTGTGCAAGGAAAGAGAAATTTATAGTCGGAGGTAATGCCTTATGCCATTTGGAAAAAAGTAGATGAACATTTGAGATCAGAGCTGTATTGAATGCATCAATTTTTTTCTAGCTTCCAAATACTTGGTCTAATATATTGTCTTCCCTAATGAAAAAAAAAAGTTAATATATCTGAACAGAAGTTTTGGGAGCTGTAAATAAATGATTAGTTGTTTTATTTATATTCTTGTTGGCACACAGACTGACTTGAAATCTAGTGCATTAGTTTTGGTTGAAAAAGGCCAATCCATTTAATTTAGATGCATTTTGTTGTTAGCTATTCCTTTACAAGAAGGCAGAAAGGCATGATGATATCAAGCATGTTGGCTTTATTTAAGAGGTTATACTGGCATAATTTAATTAGTTCAAGTACATTTGTTTTTACCCTGACTGAAATCATTCTGCTGGTACAAAATGAATAGGTTTTAGCTTTTATTTATTTTTCTTCTTCTTTTTTTTATTTCCAAGCTAAGTGAACTTTTAATAGATTTGAGTGTTCCCTCCTCTCACTCCTGATGCATTGCTCTGATTCTTCAGTTGCAAACTCAGAATGTATGCATGAATCGCATCTTTGTGCAAATTTTATGCATGATCTGTGCTAAGCAAAGCAGATTAGATTGTAATCTAAATATATTCAGTAATAGATTGGATGCTAAAGGACCTTTGGAGTTGTGGGAACCAATAGAAATGATGTTTTTGTAGACTGAGGGTGAGTAAACTAGCTTTTTGTATTTATAGGATGTGCATTTCTCTTGTTGGGCAGGACACTGTCTTAGAAAACGGCATGATTATTCCAGCGAGTGAAAGTGTACCTGAAGATTTAGTGAAGAGGCACTGTAGGAAAGCATCTGGAACACCTTCCATTGCAGTTTCTAGGGTATCTTTGTCTTCAGGCAAGTATTAAGTCTTTTCCTTTTTTCTGCCAACCTTTATCATCAGAGGATTATTCCTATTCATGTGATTCTGCTCCCTTTGCTTTTAAAGCACATTGAAAGATCAGATGTAAGTTGCATAGGTTTGTTAATATCCATTCCTGAAAATTCTTCCCTTTTGCTGTCCAAGTTTATACCACTTAACAAGTTTTAAATTTGCAAAGATGGTAATCCTAATCCAAGTGGTGTTGGCACAATATTAGTATTAGGTAAATTACGTGCTCTCAGAATCGTTACAGGATTTCATTCGCAGACTGTTAAATCATTCTCTGTGTGGTCAACTGTATAAAATACTACCTATCTGCAATCTGTATAAAATACTACTGTGCTGCTGGCATTGCAGTTCACACCCACTTTGCCCACAAGCAAATTTGGGAAACAAAGAGCTGTCAGGGAACCAGTCCCTTATGGGCTTCCTGTCATGTCATTTTTATACGTCATGCACTGAACAAGTCAATTCAGCCGTAATTTACCTCGTTTCATTGGCGACTATTAGGTGAATGTGGCTTGCACAGGAAGGTGCTGTCAGAGCCACTTTGCAATGGTGGATGCAGATCCTCGTTTTCCTACCCGAAATGGGAGGCAGGAGCGCCCTGCCCTCTTCTGCTTCTCCCAGGTGCTCGGTCGGCTTCTTATAGGGCTAACAGAGTGGGTTCAGATTTACAAGTTTCTCTCTGAAAGACAGCAGGGATCATTTTATTTCAGCTGAATTTAGCCCAAAGCAGAAACCTAGTGGCTTATCCCACAGAGCTAATCAAAGGAGATAACGTTCTTCACCTTAGATTTTTCAACTTGAAAGCATCAGCGTTTCTTTGAGAATATTGTATGGCGCAACTCCAGGCAGAGGTGTTACAGGCTTTATGAAGTGAAAATTCTCCTGTTTCTGCTACCTTATAAAAATAAAGGTTTTCCTGGCAGAAAAGAACTGGCCTCATGCTACCAAAGCAGATGGATGCTGAGCAAAATTGCAGGCAACCTGGGAACAGGCCTTGGACTTAATCCATTGTCTCCTTGTTGGAGGATCTCAAAGGACATTAAGCTCAGGAGAGTGACCTTTCCTGTCACATCAGCTATAGCCCAGGGAGATGATGAACAGTTAAAAAGTTTCTAGATTCCTACCTGCAGGATCTAAAAGTATTCTCTTCCTCCTCTTTCTTTCTCAATATATTGAAGAGCCACACAAAAGATTTATATGGGGAGGACTAAGAAAATCTTTCTCCAAGACATCTAACGTGTCTTGTGCCTATAGAGTGGATGAGAGACCTGTAGGACTGAAGGAAACTTGTGCAGGCCTGGAGACTTGTTTGCTTCCTCCTTCTTTCTGCACAGGGAACACCAGTAACAGCAGAAGTATTTACTGTGTCCCTCTGTATCCCTGGTTGCTTAATTCTGAAGCAGACACTGGGGATAGTTTGGTGGTGGTGGTAGATGTAATAATCACTGTGAACGCTTGGACCGCAAGTTTTGCAGTATTGCAGGCTGGTTGGCCTACCAGAGAAAGTCAAAAGCGTGATTTACAGTGTCATCCACAGGAGACAATTACAGCAAATAAACAATGCAGGGGAAAAAGTATTGGCCGGAAGCCTGAAGAGCATCAAAAAGCATATTTTTCCATTTATCATACTGATGTTCAGTTGTCACAGAGCTTGTGAGTGATACCTAAAATATAACAATTGGGTTTGAGACAGCACTAATTGGGTTTGAGACAGCACGTACTGAAGTATGAAAGATGAAACAGAATGTTTTTGTACAATTTCTAGCAAATGTTTTAATTGTTTTTATCTTCTAGATCGTAGCCGATCTGAGATAGATTTGAGTGAATCTTTCTCTGAAGGCAACGAGGATACTCTGAGCATAAGAAGTAAATCTGTACCTAGTGCCTTAGATCAGGAACTGGTGAGTTACAAATACATACGTGTTTATCTGGTGGAAATCCTGTTTGTTCAGACTTATGAAATCAGCACTGTATGTATATCTGTGTAAAACATAAGTAATTCAGAGCATTATTTAAGGAACATCTAACGGGTTTTTAAACAGCTTCATCTTCTGAGTATGTTGGCTATTGAATAATTCCAATGAATAATCGTGGTTACAGTTTGTTACTGATTTGCTGGGTTTTGAGTTTGCAGGTGAAGATACCTGGCCTGAAAATAAATTTCAGGCACTACATTACACATGCTCCAAAGTTCTGTTAATTCATACTTTCTTAGATTTTATTTTTGCTGCTGAGAAATTCTATACTTTAAAGGCTTTAATCTTTGTCTGGTTTTGATTTTCCCCTTATAAATCTTTTTAGCAAATGAAGCCCCAACTTTCTGTTCTGTCACTGTTGCTTGCCTCTTCTTCTTGGTCACTCTTTTCTCCCCTACATCTCCATGCCTTTTTCTGTGTATCCTATGGGCTGCTTTTCCTGAAGTGATTCACAACTTCTGTCTCCTCTTACGCACGTATCCAAGATGTACAAATTGCAGATGTGCATATAAAGGAATTTACAAGCTTGTTAAGTATGCATGAGGGGACAAAAAGAAGAATTACTTAAATAGTTCTTCATCTAATTGTAATTTGTTCTGAAGTTTCCAAATGTGTGCTTGTAGCTTAAAAAAAAAAACCATAACCCTTGTGCGTTATGGTTTATGCATTTTGACTGTTGTCATAGCCTTTCCCTATTTTTTTTTGGCCATGGGAGATTTTTCCCCTTCTTGTAGCATTTGATACTTGGGGCTTAATGGAAAACAACTTGTTGGGATTCCTATTTCTTGGATTGTAAGGACTCAGAGAATTTGCCTGCAGCATTGCTTTGTTTGGGTTAATCTTTAAGGAAATAAAAAAAGCCCTTCCTGTGTGTCAGCTTTCTGTGGAAGAAAAGCTTCAAAAATAAGTGGTTTATTTTTTATTTGTAGTAAAGAAAGCGGATATGTTCTTGATTAAGAAGCTGGAAAATATTGCAGAAGAGAAGCATAAAATAATAAAATACAAACTTTAAATATGTTGACATCAGTTTTCTGCTCTAATTGTACAACGCGCAGTAGTTATCACTTAGAGATTTCTCTGAGGCAGGTGCCAAAGATGCCAAGTCCAGAGTGGCTTTCTGTTATTTGGTTTTTGTCTTATTCAGAGGGGGGTTTATTTGCTTTTTTTCCTTTTTCGTTCTTGCTGACTCTGAATGGAATTTCAGATTGCATCTCAGCAACTCTCTAGCTTCTTTGCTAACATAGGAGACCTCTCTTGTGGCATAACCTTGATTTAGTTCCTCTGGGGTTTGTGAGAGTGCTAATTCCCCTTTAAACTCCATTCATAACGGGATTCATAGATCTCTGATTCTACCCATGTCCTCACTTGCTCTGTTTTATGAAATCAATTGATTGCATTCATCAGCTTTAGTGTTACCGCATTTTTTAGGGTAGTCACAGGAGTCCGTCAGAGTCTTACCCTATATTCATTATGGATGCAGTGTTTTGGGATAAAAGTTGTATTCCTGTTGGCGTTTAGTTTATTTAGTGCTCGGTTAAGAGGCAAAATGAAAGATACCTGATCAAGATAACAACAGCTCCTGCAGCCCGAGAAAAGTGATATTCCTTTTCTCCTGGCCAGCTGATGGAGCTAGTTGAGGTCCTTCAGTCTCATTTCTGGGTGATGGGAGCTGACAGCAGCAGTGTGGGAGATGCCACGTGTCAACAGGATACATGGGATGCTGGGATTTATCAGCTGAAAGGGTGGAAAAGGGCTTTCAGCCACTTCGGTCCCAGCTTTATCAGGAAAACCCATTACACATACAGAGAGATCAGCTGGAAAATTGAATGGGTATTTTTCTTCTCTAACTTAATGTTGCCCTTGAGAGTGAGAAGGGACAAGCCCCAGAAACTCACATACTCTAGTACATGTTTATCAAGGCGTATGAGGAACCAGTTAAATCTAGTCTTGTGTTCAGGTCTGAGCACCTTTTCTAGAGAGGTGTGTGCTGGGTTCCTGGCCAAGTAATGTTCATTACGTGCTCAGCTCCTTTATTAGAAGTAATTGGATAATGTGCATTTTATAACCCCATTGGAGACCGTGCGATTAATGTCCTACTAGCTCTGACTTTAATAAGCTCATAATACTAACCAATTATGTAGTTGCAGTTCTGTAACACCTCCTGAGCAACATAATCATTGTGGTGCAGAATAAATTAAGAGCATAGGTTAAATGTTCACCATTTCTTTTTTAGTTTTAGATATCTGCTTGCAGGCAAAAATTGGTAATCAGCTGGCTGTTGTTAGGACCTTTGTGAAGCAATGTTAATATTTGCGTGTCAAGACCTGAAACACCCCAGTCTGAAGATGTTGCCTTACTTTTTTTTTGTCCTGTATTTAATTATTCAGCAATAAAAATTGTTTATTTTAAGGTCCACAGGTATGTATAAAGCAGTGTAAAGGAAAGAGTTGTGCATGTTTTACCAGACTTGCTTCTTCCTGTTGTATGGGCAAGAAAGAAAATTGTGTATTCTTGTGCCAAGTTTTAAACTTGAGTACATCACCTGAATTCTGAAGCGAAGTGAGAGGTGGAGAGGGGTTTTTTGTTTTTATTTTAGGGTTTGGGGGGGGTGTTAATTTTGAAGGATTCAGCTCTCTATCTGTCTCCCTGAAACAGTTATTCCCAGTTGTGTCTGGGTCTCCATGGACTTCTTCCTTAGAATATAAAATATTTATGACTTCTTTCTTTTCTGTGGAGTGGTAACAGTGCCCTGAATAGATTAGAAAGACAAGAGACCAGCAGAGGAAGTTCATTGTAAGAACGTGAAGAGGAATGTTTGCTTCAACTGTGTAAATTTTGGTCCCAAATAGAGTAATGGCTTGTCCTGATTTCCCTCTGCTTAATATTAAATACACAGTTACAATTGTAAAGTAGTAACAGAAAAATTTGCATCACTTTCAGCTGGTTTTATTTCAGTTCAGTCACTGGAGCAAATGAGGAGATGTAGCAGCTAGTTTTAGGCCTGCTAATGGCAAATGCTCTGCAGATCTTTACATAAACTGGGACAGTTCAAGTCTCTGGTAGCATTTCTTCTCTGCTCTGCTTTTCCTGATTAGCCTTTCCTGATTAGTCTTTGAGACTCCTGAGTTTGAATACAGTGCTTCTCTGTTTAGTTTAAGAGAGTGAGAGCGACTAAGCAACAGAGTGAGGTGGGTCACCATGTGAGATTTTGGTAGCTGCAAAGCAGATATAAGACAGTTGAACATTTGACTTCCATTAAAAATAAAAGCAGAGTCTTTCAAAACACCTGCCGTAAGGTTTAAGGAAACGCTTGAAATTTCCCAGCTACACTTAATAGGCTGATAGCTGTCTGTTGGGGTTTTTTCCTGTAACTTTTACTTAAAGTTAACAGTCCTGTTAGGACCATCAGCCAGATTTTAAGGTTCTTTTTAGATTTTGCTTTATTGTTGTGTTTAAAAAATGAAAATTATTTTTTTCTGTATATCAGCAAAAAAAGTTACAGTTCAGTCTTGCTTATTAAAACTCAAGCATATATATGAAGCTGTGCAATTGCTGATTTTTCCTCCATTTTTAAAAAAATAGTAAAATAACACAGGAATTTAATTGTTTTTAAAACATGCACATCAGCTGTTTTCTGTTTGCCCCTCAAATATATTCAGTGTATGCTGACAGGACAAGTTTCTTCCTATGTGGTTTGACAATAACCCTGGGCTTTCAGCACTGCCTGTTAGAAAGTGGGTCCATGTTAATGATCCTGTTCACAAAATTGTCGCCTGTCACCAAAGACAGTGTGAAAGGGTGAAAATGTAATGCAAATTTTGTGCTTCTCCATTTATGTGAACGTGACTGATACAAATGTGGATAATAATTTGAAAGCTGGATTGCAAAAAGAAAAAAAAAAAAAATCCTATAAAAACATGGAACCTGGACTGTAACCAAGAAATCAGTCCATCTAATGGCTTCTGCTGCAAATGTCTTCAGGTAAACCAGTATCAATGATCCCCTGACCCCTGGTATTGGACCTTAATTCACTTATTTCTTTTGTTAAGATTTGAAAAATTCTCACCATGTCCCTCTCAGGTTTCCAAACCTGAATTCCTGAATGCAAATAACAGTAAGTAGAAGAAGGTAATTCACATGGGATTGTTAGCAGGCATGGAAGTGGGTTTTGTTTATGTGCACGGTTGTTGCCCATGCAAAGGTATGCGCCTCCAGAATAAGATATGAAGTATGTGTGTCAAGTTTTTCAGTTCTTAAGCAATTGAACCCTGATGCCGTAACAGCATCTTTTCCCCTTATGCTGTGTGCCTGTGCAAAGATGTGGAAAATGTAAATCAAAACTCCTCTAGGGATTAGAATTTTGAATGCATCCTTCACTGTCTACCTAAAGTGGAAAATATACGAAGCAAAACTTAGTGACAGAGGCTGACCAAATACAGAGCAGAACACGACAACTAAAATGCCTGTTTGTCATTTAGGATTATCTGGATGAAACAGAAGAAGATATTGATGACATAGTGGCCTCTCGTTATTCAAGGAAACACGGACGTTTGACAAGTGGATTATCAACAGTAAGGTCTTGCGTAGAAATATATGTTTTTTCCTTCCACAAAAGACCATTGTTCCTCCAAAAAGGGGTTTAGCTTCATACCACTTAACAGCAGATCATCCTTCATCCTGTACTTGAGAAATATCCCTTAACATTTAGATAGTTCTTCTATTGTTATATTTTTAATGCTGCTCAAAGCCAAAATGCTGTTTTCTGCAGCATATGGAAGGAGAAAACCATTTTGCATAGACATCAGCAGATTTCCTCATGTGCTCAGGTTACTACCAAGCTGACGTGGAGAAGGCAAACCATAGGTGTTTGCAGTACGTGACTTCTCGGCTTTGTGGAGGAGCACTTAATCTTAATTTGTTTGAAGCGAAGAGAACAAGGTTGTGGTGGGATCTTCCATCTCAAACCACTTTCTGATTGTTCAGGTTCTTGGGACACAAAAACTTTAGTGTTTGCATACATACCGCTTCTGTGGCATCATTTTCCAACCCCCAGCCTAGCTTCTCCCATTCTTCATGACACGATGGCTATGCCACACACATCTGAAAAGGGGAAATACTTGGGGATTTTGGTTGGTGACAACAATTCTACCTTCTGCAATAACTGTAGTATTTTTCTGTTATATCCTTTTGTTTCTTGTCATATGCACAAACTATACACGGTAAATCAGATCACAGAATCACAGAATGGGTTGGGTTGGAAAGGACCTTGAGGATCATCTAGTTATAAGCTCCCGATGTCAGAGTCTTGCGGTTGTCTAACTGTTGCAACTTAATGTTGGTTTTAAAAGGATAGCTGCATGTTGTAACAGGTGCTTGAGATGCAACAAAATTGGTTTAACAAGTCGTACGCAGTCTGTTATTCACTGGGAAAGAAAATGGATAATAAAAGTAGCCTTTAATGAGTCTAGTTTATGACTGCCTGCTGTATACCTCATTTTTGGGATCTGATATTTAGGATGTGGTCAACTGAGAGCATCTTCTGTGATCTTCAGAAAAGTTGCAGAGCCCTCTCTGGCCACTCTTCTTCATGGCTTGTGGCTAGGAATAGCTCTGGTCAGCATATAGAGTATTATCAGAAAACTCAACAAACTCCAAGTAGAAGATGAGAGAGTTAAAGAGGATGAAGAGAGATTGAGGAGGCTGTATGCTAAAAGGGAAGAGAAAATTTGGCCCATGGCAGCAACCAGAGAACTGTACTTTCTAAACTGCATCCCCATTAGTCCCCATGCAAGCAGGGCTCTGGGAATGCCCACTTAAGTTCTTGATCACAGGGAGATGGATTTGGCTGAATCCAAGTTTGGCTTACCTGGGGAGGAGAAAGGGCTGAAAAAATTGCCATCACAGAGCATTTTGATGTCTTGGATATGCCCGTGTCCAGATCCTTTTCCCTTCTTATTTGTATAGTTCACAGGAACAGAGACAACAGAGACGTGTGGCACTTCACACCAAATCAGAACTTGAGCAAATGTAGCCTGTTGACACTGGTCTAATTAGACCCATTTACCCAAGGTTGACTGTGAGTCATTGTCTCCAATGCTTGCTGGTCCCATGGATTTTACAGAAAGAATTATTTTTTTTTTCTCTCTGAATATTGATATGAAGGTTGCAGGTGCTTAAGTGCTTTCTCCGTTCAGGCCATTAATTGAGGAACTGCATTTCGAGAGCCTTCCCCTATGCGCTGTAGGCAGCATTCTCTCTGTGCATTGGGTTTTGTGCTTTGCTGGAGATTTCCCTTTGACCTTTTCCTTAAGCAGAGGGTAGTTTTTCCAGTGCTGTAGGTTTGAGATAATCTCACATCTCAGTGCTCTTGTTTCTCTGTATTCACCATGACATGATTTTTAATGTCACTGTGTACTATGTTAATGGCGAAGTTGGGAATGGCAAGCTGCTTCTCCCTGCAAGAACAGGTCAATTTTATAGGTTCTTTTTTTATTCCCCTTAAGTGTGCATTACTAGTTACTAACATTTCCCCTCTGTCTTAATTTTGCCTTTACTCTGCTTGTAATAAACCTCTGAGCCTTCTGCTCTGAATGGATTTTTTTCACGTACTTATCTGTCAAATGACTGTCTACTATTAAGTCACGCTGAAATTATGTTATTAATGAACAGTAGGCTCTGACTGCATGTGTTTTCTTTGGGTTTTTTTTTTTTTTTTCAAATGTGGGAATTTAAAGTACAGTATGGGTACTCTGACAATGAGAATTTGAGGTAAAGGAAGAAATATCTCAAAGAGTAAATAGACCTGCAATCTCCCTGTAACATGAGTGAGCGAAAATGGAAAGTGGCATCGAACAGGAACTGTATCTCAGCAGTAGGGTATTTTTCTTTGTGTTTTTCTAAAGCTAACACATGAACTGTGTTTTAGTTTTCCCTGCATCCTTCACCGATTCCTCTCCTAAACATATTAATGTGGTGATGTCAAGACCCATCACATCAGTAAGACTCAATTGTGCCAGTGCCTTATTGCAGCGATAAGATATGATGCAAACCGAATACAATTCTTAGTGAGGTACTAAAATGTGGCTACGCATCCTCCATATGTGGTAGTTGTTTACTGCTTAAGAAACTGGAAAATGAGTCAATTTCTCAAGGACATTACATTTAGTGTATGTAATGTCCAGTGTAAATGCCACAGAACAGAGTCTGTGGGGGGAAAAAAGTCAAGTGTATCAAATAGTTTTACTAAATTTGTGTTGTTTGTGGTTTGTAAGAAATTCAGAAACTGTGTTTGCGTAGATTCTAGGGCTAGAGGTCATCTATTTGTGTAGGACTTTCTATGAGGGTTTTTTCCCAATCATTTATCCATTGCTGCCCACTTACCTAAAGATCAAGAAAAAGAGTATTTGGATTCAGTAGAGAACAACTCATCCACCTCCTCATATTGCTATAACCTTGTTTGTTTTCTGAAGTGGGCACACAGATTGTTACTTTCCTGTTACGGGGATAATTTAGGCATTTTGTAGCACATACTGGGACTGTTAAGATCACTAACAGTATCCACAGATTCCCATTTTCATGTGTGCTAGAGGTGGAAATGCATAAATGGTAAAGGCTGGAATTTAGCTCGAGGTGTGTTAGGAATATGAGGAAATTTGCCACATTTGTCGGTGTGTGTTGCTAATTCTCCAGTAATTTTAACCAGTCCTGTTCATGGAATTTCAGCCAATTGTACAAAAGAATAAAAGGACAAGCATTTTTCTTTTTTCCTTTTTTTAAAATTTTATTTTCTTTATTTTTTTTTTAAATAAAGGATAAAAAAGGCAGCAGGAA